GGCGCTGCCGGGGCCGGGGCCCGCTGCCCGGCAGCAACGGGGACGCGCTGGGTCCCACTGGGTCGCGGCGGGGGGGGTGCAGGGTCCCGCACCGGGACGTGGGGGCTGTGCGGGGTCCCGAACCGGGACGTGGGTGCAGGTCCCCGTGTCCCCCACGCCAAGACACGGGTGCAATGTAAGGATCCTGGGCCGGGATGTGGGTGCAGGGCAAGGTCCCACGCTGGGACACGGGTGCTGTGATGGGATCCAGCACCGGGAAGCGGGTCCCACACCTGGATGTGGGTGCTGTGCACGGTCCCACTGGGACGTGGGTGCAGGTCCCAGGGTCCCAATGGCTCGTGGGTGCTGTACACAGGGTCCTGCACCATGAAGTGGGTCCCACACCTGGATGTGGGTGCTGTGCAGGGTCCCATTGGGATGTGGGTGCAGGTCCCAGGGTCCCAATGGCTCATGGGTGCTGTGCCGGGATCCAGCACTGGGAAGCGGGTCCCACACCTGGAAGTGGGTGCTGTGCAGGGTCCCACACCGAGGCGTGGGTGCAGTGTAGGATCCCGCACTGGGGAGTGGGTACTGGGCCAGGTCCCCTGCTGGGCCACACGTTCTGTACATGGGGTCCTGTACCAGGGTCCCATGCCAGGACATGGGTGCTGTGCTGGGATCCAGCACCAGGAAGCGGGTCCCACACCTGGATGTGGGTGCTGTGAAGGGTCCCAGGGGGGTGTAGGTGCAGGTCCCAGGGTCCCGATGGCTCATGGGGGCTGTACACAGGGTCCTGCAGTGGGGTGTGGGTGCTGTGCAGGTCCCAGGAGAGTGTCTCCCGGGACCACAGGCAGGGTATGGGAGAGGGATGCAGGATGCTCAGCCCGGGTTCAGGCTCGCGTGCCTGGATGTGGGTGCTGTGAAGGGTCCCAGGGGGGTGTAGGTGCAGGTCCCAGGGTCCCGATGGCTCATGGGGGCTGTACACAGGGTCCTGCAGTGGGGTGTGGGTGCTGTGCAGGTCCCAGGAGAGTGTCTCCCGGGACCACAGGCAGGGTATGGGAGAGGGATGCAGGATGCTCAGCCCAGGTTCAGGCTCGCGGTGGGGGGGTCCCATCCCCCGTCCCCGTCCCCCCCGTCGGGCGCCAGCTGCCCTGTCCCGGCGGAGCCGTGCTCGGCCCGTTCCCTTATTTGGTCACCGCAGCCTCCAAATCCCAAAGCCCCAGAGAGGGAAAATATTTGCAGCAGCTGGAAAATGGGGCCTTGGGGCTGGGGGCGTCCCCAGGCCAGGGCCCCAGCCCCCCCCCCCCCAACAAGGGGACCCATCTGCTGTGGCCACCAACCCCCCGTGGCCACCAGCCCATCACAGCCACTAACCCTCCATCAGCCCCCCACCCGCTGTGGCCCCCTGCCCAGGGCATGTGCCCACCCTGCCAACCTCCTTGCGGGGCCTGGGGGGTACTGGGGGTCCCAGAGGGGGGTCACAGGCACTGGTGTGCCAGGGCTGGGGGCACAGTGCTGGTGCAGCGGGTGTGGGGGGGGCACTGGCACCTGACAGCACGTCGCGGGCAGGGGGCAGGATGGGACACACGGTGGGTCCCTGGCTCCTG